ATGTGAAAGCATGAAGCTCCCTGTGGCCTGGAGAACCCCTCCCAACATCTTCTGCAGTACAACACCGTGGATCAGATTGCCACAGGCCCCTGTGCAAGACCTCGGAAACAGGTGGCCAATATGGACTTACCTACTTTGCATTAAAAGTCTCTCTTTGGTCCATTGCATGATCTTTAACAGGAGTGTGAATTGACCCATTTGGAACATAAGAATGCCAAACCCTTTAGCCTGGTTGGTCAATAGATGCTAATTTATCTAAGGATCTCATCCAGCCATTTATTAAACAAAGCCAGGTTCACATCCTTGACCTCCTCACTTCTATAGAAGAGTGACTCTGCTGGGCTGTTGCTGGACTGGAATCCAACTAGACAAGTAGCCCTAACCCCTCAGCAAAGTGACCTGGGACAGACCGCCTGCTTTATTTCTGACAGGAGCTGGCTGCCAATCCATTGGAGAAGCTTGAAAATAAACACCCAAGGCTTGTGGTGGCCACCAGAAGAGTGGTTCCCAAAGACACTGCATGCTCTTTTCACAATTCGGTCTTGCTGTGACACATTTGGGAACCATGTAGAGATTGCTTTTTCTAGGAATCCAACGTGATCATCACATGCAGCTCCCTCCGGCAATCACACTATGTAAACATTATTCTATCTGAAATGGTATTTCAGCTCTTGTACCGTGAAGTGCAATTATGAAATGATTTATGTTTGCAGATGATAACAAATTAGGAAGATTAGAAGGATTGAATAAAGTGCAAAGGAAATTCAAAAGAACTTCAGAAAACATTGATGCATTCCTTGGATCAATAATCTATTATCAAATGAGCTAGATAGGCTGAATGGCCTCCACTGGTTTGTATCATTCCTCACATCCTTAAAGAAATGACCTTAACCACTATCTTAACATTAACAATCTTAACATTATTAGTATACTTGGAAACAATCACTCAAAAAAGCAGTAGATCTTGCATTACAATTAAAGTACTGTACTTTATTAGGTTGGCCTCTTCTTTGAATCTTTTCAGATTACAGTAGTTTCATGTTCCTATCACATACAATACACTTCAGACCCCACTAATGACCGTCATTGAGTTATTTTTATTAATCAAAGGAAAGAAATGAACAACAGAATGGATACAAAAGAACATGCTGAACCACCTCCTGCATGAGTGTGTCTGTCACTTGTCCAGGATGTACTGTTTAGGCCCTGTTTCTGATAAAGATAGAGAACAAAGACTGCAGATTATGTATTTCAGTCCCTCCCCAAAGTGGAGGTTTCAGACATGTGAGAATCTGGCACAAATACTGCAGCCCGAGTGCAGCAAACAAGATAAGGCAGAAGAATTTCCCAAGTAGCGTTCTTTCATTAGTTGACAGTTCTCGGCAGGAATCTGTAGGAGAAACAAATAATTCTCCAGGGCATGCCACCTATTTAGAGTTCTGGGGATAGACCAACAGTGTTTTAAGTCTAGAGCGCAGAGATTGATGCTCAATGCCAATGAATATAGATTAGTCTGGCATTTCTGTGGGCATTGTCTGCATTTCTCTGGATCATGGTGTCATAGCTAAAACAGTATACAGTATATGTCTAAAGTCATCTATATACAGTAATCTCTTGTTATAAGAGCAACCACTACATGAGTTTTTGTTTTTACAAGTTGCAGTAATTTCTAAATGTACTTTCATTTAATTTCACTCTTATGAGCTGGGATCTCATAAAGCATTGCTGAGATTCTTCTTTTCTTGCACCTTCTCATATGAGTGATTTACTTTTTATTTCTCCTAACGTTTTAACTTTTTTTACTGTAAAGGCATGTCTGCTAAGTGCAAAGTGTACAGAATAGTACTACTGTTAAAGTGTTTGCTACCGATATAAATGCTGTACCGTACTGTAAATGAGCTGGAGTGTGATTGTTTTCCTATCTATTGTTTATGCATTGGCTAATGACTTAAAAGCACATTACTGGAATCATTAACCAGGAATGTTATTGTTTCCATACTTTGGTACTATTCTGTGCAGTATTAAGGTGGAGTCAGGGTGTCTGGGTTAACATTTCTGAGTTCTAGAACTAATCAGTTCAATCATAATTTCTGATTTCTGAGTTTTCACTAACAAGCAGTTTTTGAGGAATTACTTCATATAATGTGGGATTACTGTATACTGAGACCCATTGAAGCCGATAGCAATTTGTTGCATCTTTAATGCCTCTCAGTATATATAACTATTCAGCCTTTTACCACACCTTCTGTCCTGCATTTGCATTCTTAAAGAGCCTTGTGTTGATTAACCTCAGCTTGTGTCGCAGTAATTAATAAAATACCAGGATCACCACCAGCACAGTGAGACAGTGAGCTGTGCGAATCAGCTGAGCACACAGTCCTACATTTCGTAAGCAGCAAAGTAGATGACTTGTACAGTACAGAGGGAATGTGTAAATCTCTTATCTATTTGTATTATTAACCACAGACCTAAACGGGTGGTCACAGTCAAATCAGATTTACCACACAGTAATGTGGTAATGTTACAGCTTGGTACTGTTCTGACCTCATTCACCATAAGGCATGGTTTCACTCCCATAAGCTCCTGTAACTGGAAGTGCAAAGGTGAAACTCTTGGGCAAGGAAACCACATTCAGAGGTAACAAGAGCAGGTGAGGAATTTTGATCTATGCCAATTTGTCATGCAATTATGTGAAGATGAAAACAACCCTTAATTAAAAGTGGTTAGCGACTATGGTTGCGAAAGGGGCTCAGCTGAATCTGGTGCTGAATTTGGCGTTCAGTGAGGCAAGAGTGCACAGTGCCCGTGTTGCACGTCACACCGATGCCACAAATCACCAACAAAGGAAAACTGTGACATGGACTGTAGAAACACAGAACATTTGTCAGATATCTTTTAATTGCCTCTTCACATTGCCTAGAGGATGTAAATAATGTATCAACGTAAAAACATACAGTAAGTCTTTTTCATAAGTGCCCACTTCTATCTCAGTGTTTTCCATTTTGTATTTGTAGTTTATTTTTACTATCAGCATGTAACACTCTGTTCTCGTTTGCACTAAACATCATCTGCCAGGTGTTTGGCTAGCTTTTGCATTTCATCTATGTCTAGGTATGTAAAAAAATCTTATATAAACTAAGGAAACACTGTTGCCAAAACACTACAGTGAGTAATTTGAGTTAATTACAGTAAAACAGCAATTACCGAAAGTGATGACAATAGTGCACCACTGTCAATGGAAGTCACAAATTTATCAGGAAACTTCAACAATCTGTCACCACAGCTGAGAGGCGAAAGTGAAAGAACTACAGGGAGTCCTGTGGTGGGGTTTTAAATAACTAGTTGAAACAAAGACTTAACTGAGTGGATCAATTTAATCCTTTTCTAATGTCTAATCCAGGTAATGAATACACAGACTTACAAACCCCGCTCCAGTTGGGGACCTCTGGGTTTTGGGGTGACAGACTCCTGGGCACCTGGTGGAACAGAAAAGGAATCCATCAAATAAAACGGACTTCATTTAACCAGTGGAGCACATACACTCAGCCCATATTGCTCATACTGTACATATGAGCCTTTGAGTCTATAGGGAAGCTATGTCTTTTTCCTCCAAAATAATAATGCACACTAACATCTGGGTTGAAATTGCTCCCATGTGAATTGTATCATAAATATTACAGTCTCAATCAGAACACATCATTCATTACCTGTGCTTGTGGTTTTTCATTACACTGAAGTGTTCACTAAGTGTTGTGTAAATAAGAGGCTCTGAATGTCTGATCTCAGTAACAAACTCACAGCCCTGGGCCAAAAATATTACTTTACTAGTTTCAGCTGTTTACTTAATCCAACCAACCTCAAAATGACTAACCTGGTGAACTGTAAACATGAGAACATAAGAGCAGCTACAAACGAGAGCAAACCATTTGTCTCATCTAAGCCTGTTTGGTAATAAGTAGTTAATTGATCCAAGAATTTCAGTCAGCCAGGTGTTTCTTAAGTATAGCCAAAGTACCAACTCCAATCACACGGCTGCGTAGCTTGTTCCATACACCCGCAACCCTTTGGGTAAAGAGGTGCCTCCTGTTCTCAATTAATAATAATTCCTTACACATATATACTGTAGCGCTTTTCTAGACACTCCACGCAAATTGCTTTACAGGTAATGGGGATGATGCGACGGCAGCCATAGTGCGCCAGAACACTCACCACACACCAGCTCTCAGTGGGGAGGAGAGCAGAGTGTTGAAGCCAGTTCAGAGAGGGGGATTATTAGGAGGCCATGATTGGTAAAGACCAGGGGGAAATGTGGTCAGGACACCAGCCCAAAAAGCTGATTTTACAGTTTAGCCCTGTCTTTTGCAAAATCCCAACTTCAGGCATGCATAGGTGTAAAAGATAACATTAAAAAAGAGCACACAAGGAATACAAGAGCAATACTTTCTTTCTCTCTGCGTCGTCTTCTGTTTATGCAAGAGCTCCTGTGTACAGTAGAAGGCTGAACTGCCAGACATTTGTTTGACTGTGCATGTTTGCACATGGCTTGTGGTTACATAGCTTCAGATCCTATTTTTATGGAATTGTGTAAAATGATTTTTGTGCTAATGCTGTAGTTTAGCCAGGACCTTCTGCCAATATTGTGATGTTGCAGCAGAAATAATATTCCCAGAGGTCAGACTAGGTTATCTTTCGAGCTGTGGGATTCTATACAGTCAGTTCAGTTCCGTTTGCTTGTCATAGGCACAAGTGCAATGGAGTGCATTGGGAAATTATTTGAATGTGTGCTCCTATACAAAGACATTAAGGAATCACCATGCTTAAACACAAAACAGCAGCAGCAACAATAACAAAGGTAAATAACACACACCTTAAATGTCAGCACAAGCAGCGTGCAAAAACAAAGATTATTATAGAAAGATTGAATGCTTTGAAATTTAAAGATTTGTCACTTTCAGATTCCAAAAGATGTTTGGCCTAACGTTTATCTTTATTCTGCGCAGGGCTCCGAGACGTCTCCCAGTCTCCCGGCCGGCACAAAGCCCCCCACAGTGCCAGGAGACAGGGAAAACTCCATCCGCTTCGCATACACTAAGCTGGAAAGCACCCGGAGAGATCCGTGAAGCTGCTGCAGTCGGAGCCTTTGTCGTCGCCTGCGTTGCAGGCGTCATCCAACACCGCGGGCGGAGGCCTGGGCTGGACGCGTGCCTTCGGGAGCCCCCATTCTCTCTTCCACGTCCTCACGGGGGGAAGGAAGAGAGATCCCTCCATCGGGCCATTTCCCGTAACAGTCTCACCCTCCTGGCGTATTGTGAAGCGAGAGCCGTTGTGAGGAGCTGCGATAGAAGCAGAGAGCGTGCCAGTGTCACATCCACCCTCGGCCCGGCCCAAATCCCAGAACAGCGTGTCACCAGGACCCTCCCGCCTGCCCACCCGAGGCCTGGGTGATCTCTCACTGTTCTGCTCTTGGAGGCTCCTGTGATGCGGGAGGGTGTCATGTAATCTTGCTGAGAATATTCTCAGTGAGGAGCCACTGCTGGTCACGTTCTCGATCAGACTCCACCGCCCAGCAGCGCAGTCCTTAGGTTGGCATGGCGATTTGGCGGTTAGTACTTCTGTCTCACAGCAGGGGGTCCGGGGTTTGATTGGGGGACAGCTCGTCCTTCTGCGCGAAGCCTACATGCTTCCCCCCACCCCCCCCGTTCAAGGGGATTTTCGGCTGGTTTCCTCCCACAATCCGCAGGCATGCAGCTACCGGGGGGATCAAGTCTCCCGATTCGCGAGCAGAGGAAGGGGACCCCGGGACGTGACAAGTGTGGAATCAGCTCGGAAGCCGAGAGACGTCACATAGCGAGGGGAGAATAAAGAGAAGACAAAATCCACTGCCAGGTATGACAGGCACGGGAAAAATATCCCCATCCCAATTTCCACTGGTCAGGCTTTCATTATGATGAAGATCCTTTAAATCCCACCAGAATGTCCTGCAGACCGGAGGGGGCTCTTTAACGGGGCAGAAGGAAATGAAACATCTCCCCGGCTGCACAACATCTAGACGTTTTTCTTACATCTGACTTGGAAATGAAGGCGACTGTTGTTGTAAGGAATCCCTCTTTATTAAAATGCCAATGGAAAGCAAACCCCCTTCGGCAGTAGGTACTGTAGGACTGTGAAAACAGGATAGGAACAAGAACCTTGGTTTAAAACTGGCTGTAGGGAAAAGCTGTTTGGGGCGTCGAGGCAGGTGGGCGCAGGACATGCCAGTGTGCCTCCATGTGAGATTTTCTGTTTCGTCACACAAAGTCCGTGCATTCCAACAGAGATCTCACTCTGCCTTGAGCATCTGTTTCTTGTTTTTTTTTTACACTGTTTTTTTTTGGACACTGGTCCGGATGAATGCCCAGAGACACCCAAATATTCGGATGATCATCTGACCTTTAAACTGAAATCCTTAACACGGTTCTAAACAAGTGACAAGGAACTGCTTTGTTTTTGCATTTTCACTTTTGTCCTTTTGACAAAGATGCCTACAGTACAATGAGCTCTCAGAAGACAAGTATTGGGGGCAGTGAAGGCCAGAGGGAAAAGGAGCTCATTAGGTTGAGGTCATAAATAACTAAAACATTCTGTCTTCTTGACTTGCCAAACCTGTATTGCGAATCTCATATGATGACCTGTAACCTCGACACAGGAGAATTTCAGAAAAAAACAAGTTTTCCTCAAAGAGCCACTGTAGAGGAGAAACAACAACATAGTTTGGCAATTGGATTCATAAACATAATTATGCTCGTTGTTGCTGAAGCTGTACCGACAGATTTTTGGATGCAAATCTGGAGTTGATGTAATTTATTATCACCCTTTCCTTAATTGCTGTCAACTTTTAATCATGTGAAAAAGATACACTGTGAGTGTTTTGTAAACAAGGATTCATCTGATCATCCTATTTTTCTTCTTCAGGACCTTTAGTTAAAAACAGACCATGGATTTCTTGGGTTGGGTTTCAGGGGATGGTTATGGAACAAAAAATGAGATTGTTTTTCTATATGACGGTTCAGTTTTGTGCCGGTTCTTCCCCACACCCTCCAGAAAACTGATCAGCAAACACGTACGTGAACAAGCACAACCACATCAATACCTATCAACAGCCACTTGCCTTGTTCCCCTTGACTGCTCTGTGTGTACAAACATGTTCATGCCATTACCAAAAGAGTTATTCACTTCAGAATTTTATAACAGAAGCAAAACAGAAACCGTCTCAGTAAGCACAATGCTTTTATTTTTGTTACTGAAATAATTGAAAGCTGAGAGCTTCCTCCAGCAGCACAACAGGTTGAGACAGGATCAAACTGAACGATAACTTCAGCTCTAACAGGCCAAAAATACCTCCAATAATGCAAGAAAGCAAGACGTCTGAGCTCCTCCCTTCTCTTCTCCTTTCAGTAGCTGTGTACCTGCTGACATGTGGCATCAGATTGACTGGAATCTCCTTAGTGCAGGGCAAAAACAGTGCAGTGCTGTGGGTCAAGGGTGCAAATTTAATGCCAAGGATTTCTACTGTCTCACACTGATTTTTCTGAACCGTTAAATAAACTGGTATCTAAAGATACTTGCATCTGCAGGGCTTAATTACTCACCTCTGATCGGGCTCCTTGGTCCTGTTTTTTCATTTTGTCTCCCTTTCTCCTTTGTGGGTTTGAAGGTGCATTTAAAACTATAAATGCACGAAGTCCAGATATATTTTAGAAGGCTAAAGTTGCACAGCTAACAAAACACAGCCTCTTGGCACTCGCTGAACGTGGCAGTGCAGGACTTCAGCTGACTCCTTGACAGCTCAACGTACTTTTCGTTGCTGAATTGACCGCTGTGTTGAAGAACACATTTAGACAGGGATTAACAGGAACAATTATTTCAATTGGAATGGAATACAAATTTGCCCCCGCCTGCCCTAGAAGATGCTGGTTCCCATTATTCAGAACGGAAACTTTTTTCCTGTCTCACTAGTGTTTCCACTCGCTTATCAACACTTTGGGAATGAAACCCTGATTTGGTGAATTGGGCTCTGGCAACACCAGACATGGCAGGAGAAGCTCATGCAGCTGTCTTAGTGAATTATGCCAGAAGGAGGCTCAGTTCTGAAGAAATACTGAAAAAGACCACCTCGATACAAACTCTTCTATACAACACAGCACATGTCTACAGAACAAAGGAGGGGGATTGTGGCTTTGTTTTTCTAATCCCATAAAACTGGCTACTTTATTTTCTGAGCGCTTGCTTGTCTTTTACACCAAGTTGTTTGAGGCTAATGGCTAACACAGCTCCATGAAAAATGATGGGAAGTTTCACTTTCCTGGAATTGTGCTCCCAAAAATTCCTTTCATCCCGGATTAGGGAACAATGTTTTCTGAGCAGAGTCGAGCATGCGTGACACTGGGAGAAAGATTATGGTAATTATGTCGGCTCTGCTGGGCTCCAGCCCAGGCTTGTATCACGTTCCGGAGCTGGAGATGAAAGAATCCAGCACAGGTGAAGGTGGAGGCCATGCTCAGCCATGCTGGAACAGATAGGAGAACAGGTAGAGGCAAACCTCTCTAGCCGGTCTCTATTTTCCTCCTGGCTAAACATACCACCAGGGAGAAGAGCTGACAAACAGTTTGCCATCATGACAATTTAAAACAGCACTTCAAATTTTGAGCCTTCGCAATCCACCCCAATCCAGGAAGGCTAGAACATGCCGGTAGCATATAAATAAATTAGATTTTTGAAGCTTCTCAGTTTTATAAGTATTCAGTCTTTGCTGTGATAACCCTTTGGAAAAGCCAAAGGATATAGGTAAAATATTGCAGTAGAGGCTAAAATAAACAGCCCCGAACCCCAGAGGACTTGAGTGGCTGAAAGAGGGAGGGAGAGGCAGCGTCAAACTCGCAGCACCTTCACCTTGTCCGAGCTGCAGCCATCACTGCAGGCAACGTCAGTGATGTGGACCTTCCACCTGCTGCGAAATGAGCCGCGTGCAGAGAGTGTGGTCAATAAAACATTACGAAAATAAAATGGAAAACAACAAAAAAGAACACAGATATAATGATATGAAAGCATGCAATTACTTTTGCCTCCCACGGATCTGTTTTCGACTGTTTCGCATTAGAAACCCAGGGGGATTTCTCTGAAGACAGCCCCTCCCTTGTGAACGGGTGCAAGGGGTGTAACCTGGCAGATTAACGACACTGCAAGAGCAGCATTAAACCCCACTTTATGGTTCAGAATCCGATCACACCTTTGAGAAAGACAACAAAAGCGACTGCCTGACGGAACATGTTTTTCGTGTCCGACGCTCAGGAGCTGCTGCTGGGTCGAACAAAAGCTGAGAACATTCCTTCAGAAAAAAGGCATTTTGTTCATCGGATCCTCTATTTTCTCACTTGCAGTTGATCATTTCTCCCTCATTGGAAACACTTTAACTTGGCATTGTCTTTGGCCTTTTGCCTCAGAGGAAAGGGGTGTCTCTGGTGTGTCTAAACAGAACCATACTGGCACACCTGTAAGTGCCATGAGTCCGTTGTTGAAAGGGAGTATCATTTCTGCTGTTTATTCATGTGTTTTTATGTAATGGTTTGGGCAGTACAGCAGTGTTGTGGTTAGTGCTGCTGCCTCACAGCTCTTCGATCCCGAGTTCAATCGTGGACTGAACACCCTCTGTGTTGTGTTTGCTCTCTCTGTAGAAATGGGTCTTCTCTGGGTGTGCAAGGTTTCCTCTCATATACCAAAGACGTGCTGCCTGGAATAACCAGTGACTTGAGCTTGAACTTGCATGTACAGTATGTGCATCCCATGAGGGCCTGCCATCCCAAGAAGCAGCTGGGCAAGGTCCTAAGCCATTTAACTAGTAACAATAAAGTGTACGGGATGGACTGAATGTCCTCATCTCCTTTGTGACCTTTCTTGTGCTCCCTCTTTGCACCCCAATTCCAGAATAGGCTCCAGGTGGGCTCAACTGCTACCAGGAATAAAGAGCTCTCTGACAATGGGTGGGTATAAAATTTGACATTGCCAAGAATTTTCCTTTTTACACAATTATAGTTAGAATGTTATTCATTTTGAGTACTACTTCACTCACAGATGCAAGGGAAACTGCAGGACGGTGAGTTTTTTTCTCCTGAACATCTCAGCAGATAAGAAGCAGATAATCTGCACCTGCCATTTAATGTTCTACCCAGTGTGCAGGTGAAGATAATAATCCTCACACTTATATAGCGCTTTTCTGGACACTCCACTCAAAGTGCTTTACAGGTAATGGGGATCCCCTCCACCACCTCCACCTGTGTGTCACCCCCACCTGGATGATGTGACGGCAGCCATAGTGCACCAGTACACTCCCCACACACCAGCTATCAATGGGGAGGAGAGCAGAGTGATGAAGCCAGTTCACAGATGGGGATTATAAGGAGGCCATGATTGGTAAAACCAGGGGGAAATTTGCCCAGGACACCGGGGTAACACCCCTACTCTTCTCAAGAACCACCCTGGGACTTTTAATGACCACAGAGAGTCAGAACCTCAGTTTCACTTCTCATACTAAGGATAGCACTATATATTAGGGGACATTAGGACCCACACAGACTACAAGGTGAGAGACCCCCTACTGGCCCCACTAACACCTCTTCCAGCAGCAACTGTACCCCTCCAGGTACTGACCAGGCTCACACCTGCTGAGCTCCAGTGGGCTGCCAGCAGGGAGGTGCAGGGTGATATGGCTGCAGGTGTGTTGAAAGCAGCTCTGCCCCTGCTGGGATTTGGTCATGGCCAGTCATGGGCAGCACTGGGCCAACGACAGGGGAGTTGTGTTAGAGGGCGGTGTTATCCAGGAACCAGCCCTGGGACACTAGCCCTCACTGCAGGAGAGATTCAGCTCTCACTAACAACAAAAACAAATTGAACAAGGAGACTGGTGGCCAGATTACTGGCACATCCTTGGACTCAATAACATGTCTAACGGTGTGACTTATTATTAATATTACTAATGTTGCACTCAGTATTTATCTTAGATGACCTCTCTCACCCACTCTTTTTAGAATAAACCAGATCCCTTTTATAAACACTGAGAAACATTTACGTCATTTACACCTAAAAGCATTCAATTATTGAACGATGAAAAGATTGTTTGGAGGTAGGGATGGTATTATTTTAGACTCTTTACCAGCTAACTGCCTATTCTTAAGCTCATAGTACTGGATTGCGTTCTGACTGGGCAATGTTGTTAAATGCTGTTTTGCATCATGATATTGCACTGCCTCTGCATTGTCTAATTGTCCTATACTTTATACGCCATGACCTCCCGATGTGCAAGACAATTTCCCTTAGGGGTAATAAAGGTTAAATCAATTTAACCCTGTAGCCAAGCTACTCACAGCGGGTGGGGCATGCTAGAGACACCCCGGCCAGCTCAACCCATCCAGCTCCAGTGCTGGGCCACTGCCCGGGGAGTCTAGATCACAGCGTCCTGTATCTGGACCACTGGGCTACACAGGAATTCACAATGCCCACTCCTCCTGCTTGAGTCTGCCAGGAGCGCTTCATGCTTAATGGTAGATCTACTGTATTTACCCAGAGAGAGCGCTGATGTTCAGTGCTGCGTCTCTCGGGCTTCTCCGTCCCATACACAGATATATTAATGTTGTCTCAGATACACATGGGTCATGTTATTGTTTCTTTTTATTTCCTGTTGTTTGGGAATTTGCAACGGAGAAAATTGTCTCACAGGATATCGTGACCTCAATTGGGTAAAACTCAACATATTTACATACAATAGAATACAAACCTGTTTAGCATTTCCAAACGCTTTTTAAAACAAAAAAGGAAGCTTCGCCTGAGCAAGAAGGAATAGACCAGATTTACAGTATCTAAAAGGCAGCTGGATTTTAAAATATTCAGAGGGATAAAAAGCAATCGGATACTGAGAAAGAAATGTAAAGGGCTCGTTTTAATTTATCCAACAGCATCTTGGCTAAATAAACATATACGTCAAAGATTAGTTTACATATTTGCCAGAGTCCTAGTCTGCTGAACACTTGTGAAGTTGTGTCAGTGAAGATGTGCAGGAGCTCCTAGCAGAAGCAGTTTCATTTCGAATAAGAGAGGGACGACTGTGAGCCCCTTCATTGTGAAGGCTCTCAGTATCCTTTACCTACCCTTAATAAACGTACATGAGAACAACTTGAAATGTTTTTCAACGACAAATCTAATATCGCTCAGCTATTTTTTGTATTTCAATAATCAGGACGTGCCCCATTCATTTTCTGAATATAATGAAAATATCCTGTTTTTGAAAGAAAACCATCCAAGACATTAAATAATCTTTAATACAATAGTAAGTTCAATAAAAACCTGTGACCTCTGTGAAGCAGATATTTGACAGCCATAGTGCAATATGTTATTAAAGAACTTCTATACATCCAGTATAATTACCTTCGCTGCTACCCAGTGGGGTAAGAATTTGTAAACTCTATAGAAAAGAAAAGACTAAAAGATTAATTGAGATTTAGGCAAAATTCAAACATTCAGGGCTAGGCAATTCATATACTGTAAATGTGAGTATGTAGTGTAGCAAAAGTGTATATGTAGCAAAATCAGAACAGATTCTTTATTGCTTAATTAACCAAAGTGTTGCAGATGACTTTCCCAGTTACAGTAAGTATTAGCTGGAGCAAACCCTTTAAATGGCCTGGAATACAGGCGATATAAACTCTCAGAACTCAAGCTGGAGTTCAAGAACCAAGATTGAATTCTCTTGTCCTGTAGAGATAACCATGAAAACCAAAGACAAACACAATGACAGTCATTAGACATCCAAATTCACAGCCCAGTCTGCATGTACAAGAAAAAGGCCTTTATTTGTACAAAAATATCTCCTTGGCCTAATAACAGGGACATCTGATACAGTACAAAAATACTTGGACAATACTATGGGATTTATACATTTCAAACTGGATTGGCGAGGTTCATAAAACCGTGCCAACATTATAAAAAGATTTGGTAGAGACAGTTACATGTTCCTTATAAAAGAGCTGTAAAAATGAAATTAAAATATTCTTCACAAGTAACAAAATACGTAGAAAGGTCTATCTAAGATACTCACCATGACAAAATCTTCAGAAAGCTTAGAAACAGACTTACTGGTAACTATATATATATATCACATGTAGTAGAAAAACCTATAATCATACAGAACATACAGCATGTGCATACAAAGTGGAGCTGGAAAGAATCCAGGGCATATTTTCCTTACCAAGCTAATTATATTTCAGAGAACTGATCAAATAACTAGAACGGAGATTTTCACAAAGCTTTTTGGTTTGCTTTTAAAGGATTAAGAAAAAGTACAACCCCGTTTAAACCAAACTCCAGGAAACCTACAATGCCGAGGAAGAGCGCGGTGCTATACATGTGTATTTACAGAGGGCAGACAGCTCACACAAGTTGCTTTAGAGCAGGGGCCTTCAGGGGTGGCTGAAGCAGGTAGTGCTGGGGGTCCGCTGAGAGCAGATTTCCCCAGTCTCGTCGACCCGAGCCCCAGCAGAGCAGGCCTGAGAGATCAAGCAGGGGAAGGGCGTGGCAAGTGTCTGGGAGGAGAGGGGTGGGCTTGGCGGTCTGCCCGCGGAGGGGGGGGCGGGGGTCGCTGGGCTCACGCCGTCTCCTTGGGGTTGAAGTTGGACAGCTTGGCTCCCTCCTCCCCGCCTCTCTCCTCTCTGTCCCGAACCTCTCCCTCCACGTGGTAGCCAACCATCAGCTGGTACACCACCACACCCACAAACGAGCCAATGAAGGGGGCGAAGATGGGCACAAAGAACCAGTAGTCATTAGCCCTGGAGGAAGAGGAAGAGAGAGATCGCCCATTATGGCCCAAGACCTCATCTTTACTATTTCCAACCACCCCCTCATCACAGAATAGCCGATCGTCATATTCCTAGATACAGACTTTCCATCTGTAAACTAAAAATATCTGACCACAGAAGCTCAGCAAGGCTGGGCCTGCCCAGTGCTGGGCTGGGAGATTCCTAAGGAAGACCAGGGTGCTGGTGAATCTGCAGGACGCTTCCCGCTGGACGGGAATTTCCAAAAACCAATGTCCAGTGTGGCGAAAACAGGACACTGCTGTACAAGGCACTGTTTAAATGACACGTTACACTCAGGTCCCAACTACTTAAGTCGTTGAAGACTGCATGACCTTTTGAAAAGCTAGGGTTGTCTATACAGTTATTCCGATTACCTTGTACTTTGAGCTTGCTTAAATCGGTCTTTTTTTAGCTTCCCACAATTCAATCGGTGTGCCAATGTATCCCTTTTCTACCGGATCTGCCGTGGAGTGGGGCTGCAGGTCGCCCATGTGAGCACCGCAATGCATGAAGCGTTCAGGGACCCCTGGGGGGGTGAAAAGCTCTTCATAAGGAACTGTTTCGGTTTGTGCTCCTGCAGCCCTATTTTGCAAGAGGAAGCGGGCGCAGACAACGGCTTGCTGGGGGGAGCCCGATGATGAGCATCCCGAATTTGGACGGGGCGCTCCCTCGGCTGGTCAGAAGGAAGCCCGCGCGAGGGGACTTACGTGAAGACCTCGCTGCCCCAGCCAGCTATGGCGGTGAAGAGCCGCGGGCCGAGGTCTCTGGCAGGGTTGACTGCATAGCCGGAGTTGAAGCCCATGGACAGGCCGATAACCAGCACCACGAAGCCCACCGTGAAGGCTTCCAGCCCGCGTGGGATGGGGTTGTTGTAGGGGTCCACGATAGCCAGGATACACACCACCAGGGCGGCAGTACCAATCAGCTGGAAAATAAAAAAAGAAGGAATTATCCTTTTACCGAAACCGATGACAAGACTACGCTAACAGCTCTCTATTGATTAACAATCTTTTTCATGGATCATTACTAGTAATAGGGTGGCAGTGGAGGTGTCGTGGTCAGCATTGCTGCCACTGGGTTCAATTCTGGACCGGTGGTGCCATCTGTGTGGAGTTTGCATGTTCTCCCCATATTCGCTAAGGGTTACAGTTTCCTCCCACAGTCTGAAAGCATACTGCTGGCATAAAGGCACCATCCTGCTGAGAGGATCAAGGATTAAGACAACCTATTTCCTGGTTAACGCAGAGCTCCTTCACCCCCGTTGCTCACATGAACCATGAACCACTTGTCCCAGGATAGTGGTTCCAAGGCATCATTCACCTGGGGAACTGCCGATGTTGTGACCAGCAGACCCACGTGCCAGACTGCACCGTGTTGCTGCAGTGAAGTCAAGGAAAGACACGCCAGTTTTGGAAGCTCTGCGCCAGGCCTGTCTTGGACTCACCTGGTCAAATAAGCCGTTGATCAGGGTGAGGTGGTTGGAGGGGTAGGTGGCGAAGATGCCAGCAGTCGCATTTGTTCCGGTCACCAGCAGATCCCCACCAGCGAAATCCCACAGGGCATCTGGAGGGAGGAGACGTGTGAGGGTCAGGGAGTGGTGATGTTGAGTAGGGGATCTACTCATTTGACAGGGGCCAGAGCCCCACAGAAATAACCCAACAGACTGAGGAAACTAAATGTGACTTTTGAACATAGAAAGAAAGAAAGAAAGATGGCTGTGGGATGAGATCTAGCAGTCACTACCACCCCCTGAGGGCCAAATGGACAGCCCGGGGTTTGTAAATCCAAATTATTGCAGGGTTTTTTTTACTCCTAATGCAGAGATGTCAAACTCGGCTCTTGGAAGAACAAGCTCCTTCTCCTTTTCCCCCCAGAGCTCTTGCCAAATGTTTGGTCTAACTATTTAACTTCATTCATCTGACGAGGCTCCAAGGTATTTTGTAGGTAGCAGGGCCTTTAAAAGATCTCAAGAGAAATCCTAGATAGGATGAAAAACAATTACAAGCTACTGAGACCGCAGACCACAAGACACCCAGACCTTCAAGAACAGAGTCTGAGATGCCTGCTCCTAGGGGCTTCCTACCTTTACCTACCAAAGTACAGGCCGAAGATGATCCCAGAGCCCAGGAAGGCTCCCAGTGTCTGGGCCAGAAAGTAAGCAGGGAGTTTCCTCCAGGGATCCCTCCCAAGCAGGCACAGGGCAAAAGTCACCGCCGGGTTAAGATGTCCTCCTGGGAGAGTTTAAGAAAGGGAATGAGATTTACTTCTCTACAAAAAAAAAATCGAACTTGCCGCCACGGCATCTTCTGCAGTCTTAACCAAAGGTCGCTGTGATGAAGATACAATTTCCCACACTCCTTTGCGTCAGCTCTTCTCTTCTTTTTTTTTGCCTGAAAAGGCTTGAGAAGTCAAAAACAAACTGGTGCCTTTCGGTTTTTTGTATTCTGACTGAAGTTTAAAGTTCTTTTAAACTGCCTGATTTTCAGCTCTCAGGTTTCAGGTCCACACAGAGTCGCATGCTCGAGTCTTGGGAACTGGCTTCCAAGCTGTGACTGTAACGGATACTCCACAGTGGAAAAGTTGTATTATTCTTGTTTCTAAAGAGGAAACAAAAATAGTTTCCAGTGGTTGTTTTTGTGGGCTATTCCATTCTGGTAACCTGTAATTACAGAGTAGTTAAATACGCCCAGAGAAGTAGGAGACTATTTCCCTATTTTAATAGAAAAGGCCTTTAAAACAGAGGCAAAGGAACTGTTAATCTGCAGAGTGCATCTCACAAGGATTACGAGAACACAGAGAAATTCAGCGGTAATACAGTACTTAATTTAGTCAACTGCAGACAGGTTAATTCACCACGTGACAGAAACGATATTGTTACTGTAGAAACCGTTCAGAGAAGAGCAACCAGATTCATTGCAGCACTGAAGGTTTTTAGTCTTGAGCAGAGAAGACTATGATCGGAGCCATTACAAGTACTCAAAATCTTCAAAGGCACCCAGTGGGCTTCAGTGAAACAGAAACCAAAAGACAAGTGAAACTTTTGTGGAGGTGCGCTTAAAACTGGGAACAAGAGGCTCTTCCTCACCCAGAGGATCCATCTGGGAGTATGGAACAAGACAGCCAGCCATCCCATTGAAGCTAACGTCATTCAAGAAAACAGCTGGGTGACATATTGGACTAACAACCATCAAGCTGGCTAGATGGGCCCAAACTGCTTCTTCGCATCTGAAGCCTTTATATTCTTACAGCTGACGTTGTCAAATGATGGTTACCCTTTTGTCACAATCCAGTTGCTTTCAGTTCTACAAAAGATACAATGTTTTGCTCGCCGAGTCTAAAATATGGATAATTCTAATAGAAATTGAACACTGTAGAATCTGAAATTAACTGGGAAGCAGTGCATGGGATTAGCAGTTTCTCAGGACAAATACTTCGAGCTCATGTAGCGTTACACTTTGTGCACAAAACAGCCGTTAAACCAACAACGCCTGTGAAAATGATTCATATTTTGGTCTTTCGAAGCACGGCAGTAATACAGCACAGGCTTGACCATACAGTCTTCCCTGGCTCAGACAGAGCAGCAGTGGCAGCCTGTTCTTTTGTGCTTGGAGAGGAGTTTCTTTGCTGTCAAGAACTTGGTCTGGCATATGCCCCTCCTCCTCAACAAGTTTCTGCTTTCTGAAATGACTCAAACCAATACAGGCTGTCCCTTGTCAGGCCTGTGTGAAGTCGCATAGTGCCTATAAGCCACAATGACTATAACTGAAAAGTCATGGACATTTGATCTCTGTCCTTAATTGAACTGATGATCTACTTTAAATACTAGAAGGCAATTTTCTAATAAAGCATAAAAAAAACTATAAAACAAAGTCAATTTGGGTATTTTTTTTGGCTTTTACAGATGATAAATTATTGATCTTCTATTGCTTGATAATCCGTGACCCAGATTTAGTGTATTTGCTTCTAGCTGTACAGACACAGAGCTGAACCACCATGGTACTCACCCGACACCTGTCCGCAGATCAGGATTCCTAGGGTAGCCGCAAAGCCGAAAGCAAAGTTCACGGTCATGAACATACCATGAGAGCCACCGCTAAGCACCAGCTGAGCCACTGCACCACAGCCGAACATCTGGCAACACGAAAACAGAGCACTGTCAGCAAGCCCATAAGATCAGATAACATCACTTTATTGCCCATATACAATTTCTTGCATTAGGAATTCGACTTTTCACATACCCCAGCTTGCTCTCCATGAGACACACAGACAGGGAGAGAAGCTTGGGGTCAGAGCGCAGGGTCAGCCGTTTATACGGCATCCCTGGAGCAGTTGGGGTGAAGGGCCTTGCTCAGGGGCCCAACGGAGTAGGATTCCTCTGTCTGTTGTGGGATTTGAACTGGCAACCTCCCAGCCACAGGCACAGATCCTTAGCCAAGGTGCCACTGCTCCGCCCCAAACTCATGGCGATTGCTGGATTTGAACACGCTTATAAGTCAGTCACTTAAGCAATCACACCAGAGACGCAATAGTACAGTCCATTTCCCCGTGCATTCACCCTGACATCACTGCACTGCATTCTCCAAAAAACACATTCCAAAGAGAGAGAATGACTAAAATAGTATCCCTGTGAACACAAGTCAATTTTCATAATCATCTTGAAAGGATCAACTAAACATCTCCAGGTCAACATAAAACAGAAAGAGCTTTTCAACTTGGGCATCTCAGGAATTCAGCTGTAAAGAATCAGCATTTAGACAAAGTCAGGAAGTAATACAGAAAAAAAAACAAGCAATGCAAGGATATATACCTTTATACCTTTAAAGAATGTGATATTAGAATAGTAGTACAATGCACTAGTAAAACCATATTCAAACAATATTCAAAATAAGGTCATCACATTACAAAAAAAGATTACTATCCAGGAAAGAGTTATCCGAGTCATTCCTGGGCACAAAACAATGTCCCGCTGTTTGTGAGGGTCGGTTATAGAAAAACCCCTTAGGAAAGAATTATTTCCAGTGCAAAAATAAAAGACTTCATACAGCAAAAGCTGTTGAGATCCCCAGTACTGCGAATTGGGAAAACCCCTCATCATTTAATTTTTTTTATAATGTCAACATTTTATTTGTGGATATGGAATAATGTGAAAATTATTAATAGTGTGAAAAATATTTTTTTGTTGATCCAAAAATGGGAAACAGTAAATACAGCTTTCATAGGGCAGGATTAGCCGTTTTCTGGGACAAATACTTTGAGCTCGAGTAGCACTCCAGGTTGGGAACGAGAGGGATGTTAAATCAGTATCTACAGTGAAAGGCTAACAGTTTCTGTGCACAAAGGGTAGTGGGAGCGTGGAACAAGCCGCCCAGCCACGATGTTAGAGCCAGTGCCACCACGTCTTTCAGAAACAACTGGAAGACTTTCTCAGACTCAGGAGGTACCAGCAGCCAAATGGCTTTCTTGTCAGCTTTGCTCCTGCATTGTTTGCCATCCTTTGGTAGGCAGCGAGTATTTCTTTCTGGAAAGTGTTTTACAGATACGGTATTTAGGCGTTTCCTGTCCACAGCACTAGAACTCCCCCCTTTTATCTTGTTCTTGACCATGATATTCCTGGAATAAGCTGTGCTTCCCTGTTCCTTGCTGCCTTGGTGACTCTTATTTTTGTGAATCTGATGTTCCAGATCGCTCGACTGTCAGAATTAGTCATGCCTCTGCTTCTGTGCATGGGACCTGGGAGGAGGCCTGTGCCATGACTTCATTTTTAAATCACAGGTTACAAAATTATGACTCATCAGAAATGGGGTATTTATCATTTTGTTTGGTTTGAAATTAGTTGGAATCAGAAGCACAGAAAGGGACTGGAACGTGTGCCACTACCTTTCTGGGTAACATTTCTCCTTTTGGCCCGAGCTGAGTTTTTCAGCACTGTCTCATGGAAAGTCAACAGCCAGGAGGGGGCTCTGCACAGCTCCATTTCCCCTCCATAAGTTCCTTTCAAAGCCCAGTCCCATACAGAGCCATTGTGCACCGCCTCTGCTGGAAGGCACTGGGCTGTGATTACTTTCTGCTGAAGGAGAATGTGGAGGGATCACCAAAGAAAGAGGAATGAAAGGTCGTATTTTTTCATGCCAAAACCGACCAAGACGCAGCAGAGCCATGGACGAGCTCGTGAAAGGAGCCCATTGAGCCGCTAGCGGAATTTTTCCATCAGCAGACATTCCTCCCCCCTGTCCCACCTTGAAGTGACACTGTGGCACACGTAGTGCCATCGCAGCGGTGAGCTTCTGGAAGAAGGAGAGCTTTGTTCAGTTTTGTCCGGGCTTCATGTAAAGCAAAGACAAAACCCTTGTTCTCCTTTGTTTATGCAGATAAATCCATTGAGAACAAGTTCCAGTTTACAACGATGTCCTGGAAAATAGGATTTTATTGGCACATTTTCAATACGTTTTACTCGACATAGGAGTGTCCAACACATGACTCTAGACTGCCCTCCAGTCCAGAGACTAGAGCCCTAACCACTGCTCCATACTGCTGCCCCCAAAACTGCTAAAAAAAGCAGAAGTTTCCCCATCTTGTTCTGCTCCATTAGAAGTTCCTTGTTCTGTTCCATTGTCTTGTTATAATGCATATAATGCATTCACCATTAACATCCCTAATCTCTGTATACCACCAAGCATAAACAAGCACAAATACCATTACACAACTCTGCAGAACGGCCATAGACAATAGAAACATTGATGTAGCCAGCAGTCCCTAATGATACAGGATACTGTGGCTGATGATTTCAGAGGTTCCAGTCTGAAGAGAGGGAAATGAAAATAAAAAATAGATTTTCTGCACTGCCCGGTTATTTAAAAACCTGCTTACTAGTTGTCTTTTGAACTGACTGATCCTCACAGAGCTGGAAAGCAACCGCCTTAAATCAAGACCTGTCAGCAACCTGATTAGAGTAATTTAACACATGGAAACGGCGCCGGTGGTGTTGATGCTTGGGTCCAGTTCATTCCAGATGAAACTAACACCTGTGGTAGATTTGCCAGAACACTCCTTGAAGTCTCTTGACGGAGCTGCCTGATGGGCACCAATCTCTGTCTCAAAGAGAGCCTCCAGGCCACAGCCAGCCCCACCCGGCACTCATTTACAGGCTGTGACAAGAGCTCCGAGATCACATGACAGCTGCCAGATTCATATAGCCAATTCACTTGCTTGAGTTGTTATCATTTGTATTTTTGCTCCACTGATGGAGGTGGTTTTCCAGTCCCACCCTGTTTCTGAACACTAGGAATAGACTCGTGGTTTTATTATTAGTATCACAAATAACATTGCTGCTTTTGACACAACCAAGAAGAAATAAGGAGTCTACCCATCCAGAAAAGTGTTACTGGGGGGGGGGATCAGATGAAATTAGTCTCGGGATGAGGACGGGCTGCAGCCTCACCTTACATCTCCACAGAGAAGAGGCAGGTGGACACACATCTAGAAAACGTGCAGCTAACGCCACTATATTAAAGGACCAGCTGGAGAGCAGCAAGCTCAAATCAAAGGGTCGAGCACATCTGAAAGCATCCCCAAAAGCAAATATCAACACGACCCACTCCGAATTTTGGAAATCCTGGGAATTTGAAGTGTAGTTGAACGCCAATTTCAAATGAATGAATGACAGAATAGCCTCCTCTTACCTGTGGCCTTTCATGCTCTTGGGGTTATTGGATTCTGTTTTTACAGACAAGGAGAGCCAATTGAGGTTACTATAAAGAGAAACAAATTAGATTACTATACCTGCTGTGTGTAGGAATGCAGGACTGGAATCTCAAAACCCCAAAATCGAATGAGATATCCAAGCAAGGAATCTGTAGGCTCACCAGATACATCCGATAGCTTAGGACTGTCCTACAGTAGCTAAAACTACTGGATATTTCTAGTCTTGAATAGAGAAGAATGTGACGGATTCTTATATTCAAAATCCTTAAAAGGTACCGACAAGATCAAACCAATATAGTTTTTCGGAATCAGCACAGAAGGGGAAAATGCATTTAACCCCGAGAACCCCAGGGTGCTTCCTTACACAAAGGACTGTGGGACTCTGAAGCAAATGACCCAGCCTTGTTATCACCCAGCTTCTTTCAGGAAAATAGCCCTCAGCAGCTGGGCCAGATGGCTTTCTCTCATAACATTTAAAGTTCAGACTCACCGGTGCAAAAACGTACCCTGCTGTCAGCCCCATCACTCCATTAGTAATCAGTAGCATCTGCAAACACTCCCATCTCCACACAGCAACGCGACACACCAGACTGCCAACAGCATCTGTTCTGTCATGTAGTGTTTAGGCTACCAAGTGCCACTGTTTTCAAATCTGTCCTCCTGCTACACTGATCCCACTCATTTCCACTTCACTGCCTCAGCCTACGTGGGTACATTTAATGGCAACGATGTGCCACACTTCTGATCTCTTTGACAGAGCTTAGGGCTCTTGTTCCCCCCCGTTATCAAGCACAGAAAAAGGTGACAACACCTTTCGGCTAAAGTGCATACCTAAAAGCTCTGTCAGATATGTCTGCACTTAATGACCATGTTCTTTTTAAAGAAATATCACCCAACGCCCACTTAGAAAAGAGTTAAGTGCAGTTACGTAAATATCCTATGTACAAACGCTACAGACGTGATCGTATCTTTAACGGGTTTATGTTGATTCTTTCCTTTCGGCTTAAACTGGAGGAAGCACCCTGGATTGCGCTGAGCACATTTTGTAATACAAAAACACCCCGCGTGCTGGAGGGTTCAGCCAGCCAACTCTTACTGTGGTGGAAAGTCATCGCAGGTGGGAGCCTGATCCGTGAGTCATCATCAGCTTGTGCGCTGTACAAACACACAGTAGCAGCACCGGTCACGGCGATTGATGGAGACATTGGCCGGGCTTCAGCTCATGCATACTTTTCCCCACACAAAAACAGCAGCTTATCCACTCTTATCTCCCCTTTCTTTACACTGCTGTTCTGCTCTCTATCAAGGCTTCCTCAGGCAGCAGGCCTTATCAGTGCTGCTCCTGGAACGTGACAGCTGACACAGGGAGACAACAGCGCAGACCTCCCCCCCCTCCCTCCGTACACACACCTCCTTATGGTTAAACCCACAGTCAGCACTAAGATCCAGCTTATTAGAACCCAGCAGAAAAGGTGCAAGTGCACTACGAACCCCCCAAGGCAGGGCTCGACTCCTGAATGCTGCACCCTGCCTCTCCTATAATCCTAGCACAGTGAGGATTAGAATCTAGCACAGGCATGGGGTCAAGACCACTGTTCAACTCAGGAGCACAGAGAGTGTAAAGACCCAGATAAGTGTTCAACCGTGTATTGAATAACATCTGCAGCAGTGACACAGCACCTGTCTGCAGAATGGAGCTGAAAGTGCCAGAGCTTTAGAGGGATTTCAAACAGAGACACATTGAAGTGCATACAGGCAGGTCGAAGAGGACTTAGAGGAAAGCAAAACATTCGGGGACTATACAGTGGCTGATCTTGAGAAAGCAAATAAGCAGGTTTTCTTCTGAGTTATTTGTTTAGGCAAGATTGCACACATACAAATTAACTGAAACAAATGATAGCATTAAGTCAAACACCCAAAGGTTTATTATTTAATGCTCATCTGTAAGGTGCAGAGGTGCATTAAAACTGCAGTTCACCTAAATCACCTTACACCCGCATTTGTTTCTGTGCAGGAAGCAAAACCTTTTTATCTAGCAACTTCTCATAAATATGCATCAAAACCGCCCACATCTTGTGGCCTTCTCTGTTTTTTCCCCCCATTTAGAACATCTTTTCAGTTTGAAAAGGATCCCTCGTCCACAGGACAAGAGCAAGGGAGGTTTCCTAAAGGCAATAAAACTGCACTTGACAGAACAAGTCTTGACAGGAAAGGAATCAGCTCTACAGGTGTCACAGACCCATTCCAGATATCTTTCTTTTCCATCAGTGAGTCACGCAGACTAAGGCTAACCTACAGTTTGACGAAGGGGAAGGGTGCAAACTAGAAAAAAACCCCAACTAAAGCACTGTTCAGAGTGGTATATTATTTACAATGTATCTAAGCATCTGATAATATGAATAACTGTAGCAGGGTGGGGCTGACAAGTTGCACATGGACTTACCCAGGGTGGCTGTAACTTGATTGAGTAATTGCCCCAGCAACAAGAATAAGGTCCTTCCACATTCTCATGCTGGCCAATCTCACACTCAGTCAAGTCACGCCAATAACATCCATGTGAGGGATCTCAGCCCCAACATCTTTAGGTCTCGTCTTTGAAAGCTCCAGCACCAAGACCAATCATAAATATAAAGCCAGTTGCCTCAGCCCCTTGAATTCTGAGTGCACTTAAATGTGTTGGATTTTAATTTCTAAATGCTTAAGTATGCTTTGTTTAAACAAGATGAGGATTAGTGACAGCATAACGTTTTGCATGTTTCTCTTACAACTGTCCTTTGCTAAGATTCAATACAATGAAATCCAAGTTAGTTGTATAGACCTTAAAGTAGTACTGAAGACAGTGGACTTGCAGTACTTAAGGTCTTAAAACTGTCACATGCACCTACAACTTTTTAATGCAATCTAAAAGCCTTAGCCTTTATTGCTTAGAATAATCCTGAGAGTGAGCAAAAAAAAAAAAGTAGTTTGCTTTGTCTTTCAATTCAGCACAATGCAAAGAAGCAGCCCCTAGAAGATGTGGACAGAGGCAGCCCAAGATGAGCTGGTCGTCTCTGCACCCTCTTCTGCACCGTCTCCTCCAAAGATTAAAATACAGTGCCGCTGGCTACAGGATATAACCTCCTTCTTTTCGAAAAAAGAAGCGTGGGATTTTTGTGCTGGGCGTATATACACAGGAAGGCAAGGAGAAACGTCGTGAGACAGGAGGCTTCATTGGAAATGACTGCAGCGTGTAAAGCAGAGATGTATAAAGAAACAGGTGTCATGCCCTTACCGCAGCCGAAGGGGGGGTCGGGAGACCGCCAGACACTTACCACGAGAATGAGGGTCCCCAGGCACTCTGCCAGGGCCTGGCGCAGCAGCAGGTTCCTGATCTGGAAGGCGCGCGCCAGCTTGTCAATGTAGTACTTCTGCCTGCCCATGGTGCTGTCCTTTCGGGTGCGAGAGGGCTTGTCCAGGTACGTCCACCGGTTCCTCTGTCTGCCAACTGGGCTCCCCGGCGCCGACACCTGCTCTTATAGGAGCGGGAGCAGCCCTCCCCCTCAGGGCCTTCCACTCCGAGAGCCTCTCTCCCTCCTCCTCCCCCCTCTCTCTCTCTCTCGCTCCCTGCCACTCTCCTTCGGCTGTTTCCCGAGCCTGGGCTCCTCTGGGACTTACAGCAGGGGAGAGGGAGGCCGGCTGACTGGGTCTGTGCAGGGCTGAGCCGAGACGGAGACACAAATTATGACAGGCAGTCGCTTGCTCAAGATTTCAAAAGGAGCACACATCAGGCTTTCAAGACAGAAACATGCCACCCGAGGGGGTTGTGTGTGTGTGTGTCAATCCCTGTGAGGCTTACTTTAAAAAAAATAATCATTCTAGACCAAGCAGTGCGAGACCATGTGGATTAGAGCTCTATTTCCCAGAAAAGTGTTGCTCTCACCTTGGGCTCCCTCCTGCTGGTTGTCCTGTTTGCTGGTTTTGGATCCAGCTGTGCTCAGGTCTTTAACTTGAATTATTTTATTTTTTTGAGTGTGAAACTCTTTAAAAATGTTCAGCACCTGCTATAATGTCCTATAATATACATTTGATCCACAGCCCGACATCTGCAGGATTTTCTGAGCAGGTGAAAATAGCAGATGTAAGCCTATTTTGAGTTCAACGAAAGCATCAATTACGTAATTGGGAGCTCAGCGCGACCCAGAACCAGCTGGTAGATCAGCGGAGGACGCTCCGTTTTAATCTGGCGTTCATCAAAACAGCTTTTTATTTCCTCAGTCCAGGTATAACCTCTGCATCAACACGGCGTGCGCCTCACATCTCTCCTTTCTCGTTACTTCATCATTCACTTCGATTCTCGCCCCTCGGGTGTGTAGCAGATCGTTGACGAAAAGAAAAGAGGGCGACCGTTTCTCTTCCGCAGGAAAAAAAAAAATTCACGAGTGTTTTTTAAAGTGCGGAAAAATCACAGGAACGGCTAGATTGTCAACAAATGCTAATGCTTCGCGCAGTATTGGCAAAACGAGTTTCACTACCAAACAAGCATATCAGGCAATTTCTGTTTTTTAATTTCGTTTGTGCAATAAAAGAAAAGCTGACGTACCGGAGCTCTGTGGTGAACGATCCGGTATCCGCCCTGCACTGCTTGTCAACTCAAACTAGCCCGTCCGCGTCAATATTTCGCCTGGACGCGCTATAATTGACAAATTAATTTATTTGAACGAAATCGACATCGTGGACCACAGGCTAATACAAAACAAAGACTATAATTGTTTTTGTCCCCCACGTTTTTAGAGGTGCACGCTAACACGGTGAATCTAATTTTCATTTTCAACACAACAACATAAATTCCGATTTGTGTGTTTCCGTATTTATGGAAAACGGAATGTAACTATTAATTATTAATTGATCAAGTTAATAAATATATCATTCAAGAAACATTCGCGCTGATAAACCTTTGCACTTTTTTAAGTATCTGTGCTTTTTACTTCTAATCCCCAAAAGCAGAACACACGGTCATTCCCACTTCAGAAAATTCAGGTTTTCGTTGATGCGCTCAGTTTAACTTTTTGGCTCTCTCACAAAACCGTTCTGCAGCCACTTTGTAACAGACTGTGGGGAAACTCGTTTTTCAGCTTTTCTAGGTAAGACGAAGCGGAAACAGGAGGAGTTCCCGTTAATTGATACATTTTCAGATAATCGCAGAAAACAAAATATGACGAAGAGCACTGGTTTCTATGTGGTCAGCAATTTACGAACGAGTTAACGCACCTACTTTGACAAATATACCTCGGCTCTGTTGGGCAGATGCGTGTGGTTATACCTGTATGTAATTAAGATCGCCCGTTGTCTTTATGAACGATTGAGGCTTTAGCGATACAGACGCCTGTGCTGTGCGCTAAGCAGTTCAGGAATTATTTCTTGGATCATTTTTTTGCTAGAAAACTTACAACAGCAATACAGTAACATTTCGTTTCAGTATAAAATGGAGTCTGTCGTTATATTTAAAAACAGTTATTGATCCCCGTATATTCGCTCGGCTACAGGTAATTCAATCCGATTTTACGGATATTTGGTAGGAAACCACGTAAAATAGTTCCCATTCGGTCAATTATGGGCTTTATTAAAATTGTATTTAAAAAAACACTGTTTTTATATATTTAATAACAGTTTATTACATTATTAAATAGCCTTAACGTCCTGAAACTGAAGAAAAGTTGCCAACAATATTCTGTGATTCTGTGAAGAGTCACGCAGTTATTCCGCAATAAACTGGATTCTGTTGTCTGAATGGTACAAAACTGCAGCATTGCGTAACATTTGCATTCCTTCTGGGTGGAGAGTGAACAATGTGTGCTTTTAACAAGTAGCACCGTACCAGGGTAAGTATAACAGTTAAACAGAAACTTTTGTACATTATCAGCTATCGCTGTTTAACCAATTCTGGCAGCTGAATAGTCTATACATGTGGCAAATTTCAGTGCCGATCCTTCAGTACGTTTGTAACCAACTCACAAATGTGCAATGCATCACGAAGACCAGCCTTGTGATTTCATAAACCATTTTATACGCTCAGTATGAACTCCAGAAGGTTTTAAGCTGTTGCCTAAAATGGTAGGTTTAATGTTCTGTGTTTTAGCACGTGTAACATGTCCCAGTTGCAAGCTATAGAAATGTCAGTGATTGGTAAATGTTAACTAAATCCTGATACATTCCATGATCCATCAATACTCCATTTAGAATATTGTGAACAGTGTTGGTCAGCACCCTACGAAAAAGATAAATGTCTTTTCCTCTCGGACCAAGAAGACAACAGAGGGACTTAAAGTATTACAGCCCTCAAAGGCATCGACAAAGTCAACCCAGTGATTCAAGATCGACAGTGAAACATGAACCAAAGGACACAAGTGGGAACTAAACTTTGCCTCTTTAACCAATCCAGCTTGTTTCTTTTTCATTAGCTTATTGATCTCATGATCAGCTGGGGCTTTGACCCCTTTAGCTGTCTAACTCTAGTCTTGCAAACCCAGCTCTCAGACCCCAGTGGCTTCTGGTTTGTGGTCTAGCTGAGCTGACAGTGTTTTCTGCTCATACTGCCTGTATGACAGTGCACCAGAAGCCAGCAGCCATGTCACCCTGCAGCTCACAGCTCACAG